TCTTGACATATATTCAGGTGAAGTTTCATTAAATCATCAGCGGTGTACAAGAGTTATGGTCCAGACAAGAGATGGTTGACCAACAGACTGATCCATCGACCCATCACATTGTCATCTACAATTACTGACTAATTACATGCACTTGGCTATCTGGATGTTTCTCCACTTATCAGCAGTGTACCTGGATATTAATCTTAACTTTCAGCCAATGATAAGAAAGACAAGGCATATTCCTTATCTATATATTTACAGCCTTTGGAGAACGAGCTGCTTTTAGAATACAATGTGAACGACTACAATAAACTCAAATTATTCTTTCACACACACACACTCTTTCAGTTTGTCCACCTCTTGCTGCTGTGCCACCAAGGACACTGAGCTACTGAGTTTCTTTCACAATCTTCTTTTACACAACCAGTGATAAAGTTACTCAAACTATGAGTTTCATCATCACCAAGAACATTACTCTATCAACCTCTGTATTTTGTTTTCAAGGGCAACAATTTCTTTCAGAGGAACTTTAACATATTATCATAAATTGTTCTGGTTTCATTCATTAAAATGCTTCATTTATATAAAGTGCTACACAAAATTTTCAACTTCCAAAATGTGTCATTTATAACAGCTAATAGTATACCCATTATTATATGAAATGTTATTCAAAACTCTCAACTTTTTAAATCTGGCAATTTTCTAAAAGTCGGTGCTGAGAAACTTTGATCATATGCTGTACTATATCAACACGAAATCAGCCATCTAGTCCTGCAGTGATCTATAACTATCATCAGTTTGACCTATGTTAAACTGCATGTTGAGGAATATACACAGAAATGGTCACTTGTTACTGCCCCATTACTGGATGACTTTTCTAGTTTGGAAGAAAGCAACATAACTACCGAATTGTGTAACACAAAATAAACAGTTGATTGTAGCATATTTACTAATTTACCAAAAAAGAGCTACTGTCAGTTTTCTGAACAAGGTGAACAAGTCACTTGCTATGTCAGTACCCAGAGGTAAGCTAACACTTCTCAAGCACAGGCTGCCACCAGAGAGGAATGGTGTAACAGACACTAGCTTTTGCTAGAATGACACTTGCAGAACAAATTTAATACCTTTTAAGCTAGGAAAAATTATTTTATAAAATTAGTTATAAAAAATGTTATAAAAAAAAATAATGGGCAATAACACCTACAGTACTTATAAAACACTATCTGGATATCAATACTGTATGAGATGTTTCCCACCTGGAGGTCATGCAAAACTGTGAACTAAAACTTGAGCGACCAAAGCTTCCTACTCTGAAGAATGAAAGAGGAAACAAGAGAGAGAAAAAAAAGGAGGCAAAACTAACCCTTGGACTTGGCTCTGAATTTTTATACTACAATCATAGGTTGGGTTAAGGATAAGTGAAATGAGATTAGATTAGGCTAAACTGGGTTAGATTAAAATATTATATTTGGTTTGGTTTTATTATGTTAATTTAGGTTTGGTTAGGTACAGACAGATTAGATCTGGTAAGGCTGGATTAGATTCTCAGATTTTGTTCGGTCAGTTTAAAATAGCAGTATATTTGGTCAGGTTGTTTGAGTGTGTTAAATTATAATGAGTGGATTAGGGTAACTTAAGTTGGGAAAGATAGGTTAGGTTAGGTTAGGTTAGGCAATGTAATGTAATGTCAGACCAGGATAGGTTAAGCTAGGTTAGGTTAGGCTAGATTAGGTTTGAGGTACAAGTCCAGTGATTAGTGCTTCCCATCATAACTACCTACACCTTGAAGACTCAACAACAACTACTACAACATAAAGCTTTTATCATCAAACAAAAGAGCCAGTTTCTCACCTCCTGACAATGTATAAAAAATACACCAAAAGAAAATAAAGATGGCTCACTTGACAAGACTTAACCAAGACACATTGGTGGACAAGCAGAAGTAAACAGACTACAAAAGAGACAGAAATAAGATTACAGTAACTGTACCATACATAAGCATCAATCTTGAGGATATGGAAGAGGAACACCAAGTGAGTCGTCACTGTGCATGAACCAATAACAATACTGTAACTATTTGAAAGAAGTTGTCTAAACAAAGGTGTAAGTATCTTTTGTTAAATTTTTCTAGCACTCAAACAAAATTTGTAAGAGTATATGTAAACATTTTGATGTGTGTGTGTGTGTGTGTGTGTGTGTGTGTGTGTGTGTGTGTGTGTGTGTGTGTGTGTGTATGTGTGTGTGTGTGTGTATGTGTGTGTGTGTGTGTGTGTGAGTATGTGTGTGTGTGTGTGTGTGTGTATGTGTGTGTGTGTGTGTGTGTGTGTGTGTGTGTGTGTGTGTGTGTGTGTGTGTGTGTGTGTGTGTGTGTGTGTGTGTGTGTGTGTGTGTGTGTGTGTGTGTGTGTGTGTGTGAGTATGTGTGTGTGTGTTTGTTTCCTCATGCTGCATGCATCTGTATACATGTACTGTACAGTACATGTATGTGTGTGCATGTGTGTGTGTGCACACACACACGCACACACACACACACAATTTGCTAGTTATAAAACTTAAAAAAAATTAAGAAAGAACTTTGAGGCCTTCCAAAAATAAATGTTAAGGGGCACAAGTGTTGACACAGGTGGTAATCAGTTCTCCATCATAAACACTTTTGATGATTTACCCTTCATTACCCTTGAGGAGACCATGCAAACACCTACTGTAACACCAACGTTAACCACACTTAATACTCCTCTGTGTTAGGCACGACTCTTTTACTCTGCAACAGTGAGAGCGCGTCCCAACTACTTGGCAGAGTCTATCAGTCAGTCATAACAGTAAACTTGACTTTCATATAAACATTTACCATATCAACTGCCACTTCATATAGCAGACCATATTAATCTTTTATATTAATGACATGATTAATAAATTGATATATTGTAATACATGACGTAGTCAACAGTAAGTACTGTATAGACGTTTTCCATGACAAGGCTACCAGAGGCAACTTTGTATATACTGTCACAACATATCAAAAGATTTAAATTTCTTGTAAAGTGACATTTTCAAAGCTCATTATACTTCCAGGTACCGAATGAATATTATAAATCATTACTATAAATATCAAGCAGCTTATGCTTGCTCCAGATATGACTACATGTACTTTATGAAATAAAAACAAAGGTAGAAATGTGTGAGATATGAAGCCTTCCCCCACCTTGCTGAATGAGAGTCTACCTCTTCAATTATAACTTTCTTCACATTATATATATATATATATATATATATATATATATATATATATATATATATATATATATATATGCTGTACATATTATTTATCAGTCAGCTAATATCTTTGCTCAATGTTCCAAACTGATTATATTGTTTTATACATCTGTTTAAGTTTTAATAAGCTATAGCTGTTTGGCATTTTCTTCTTACTGAAAATATTTTAAAGCCTTAGCTGCAAATAAAAATAAAAACTATATAAAATATACATTTTGTTAATTTGAATAAAAAAATACTTATCTTTTTAAAGGGTGTGCAGAGTAATGACAACACTTCATATTTCAATATCTCCAAGGCATACCTGGATACCTTACAATGTAGTAGGTGTCCAGTAAGTGAGCATACTGTACTGTATATGTTTATGGCTTTTTCATCAGACAACCCATATTAAAATCTGTTATTTATAAATACTTGTACGTTAAACTATTTATTTATTTAAATATTTAAGATAAAATTTAGCTCTGATTTATGTGCTTGTACACATTTTATACTCTAACCATGTATAGCCGTATGTAGTAAGTGCAATAACACATACTAGGTCAAGAGCTGCCATCGAGTCTTAAAAGCTGTATCTAGACATATTCTTGTTATTCCTAAACAAATTGGGTAAATGACCACTAAAACAGACCACATGTTGTACACCATAATGCACGCTGTACATCACAATTAATGGAACAATTATTGCTAATTAAATATTTGCCCATAATCAAGACAAGTTTTCCAGTACTCTTCCATCTATGAAATGTTGGTGCCTACAACTTTTCATAAGACATGAGAAAACTGCAGAACCGCATCACATGTGCAATTATCTAATGTCACGTTATTCCATATGACAAAGCTGCTTTTTTAGTCATTTACTCATAATTCCACATAAGCAACGACATGTTTGACATATGACCGAGCAAAGGAACAGCTCACAACAAGTGTTCAGGCAGTGTTACTCATCTCATCTGGTGCTTGGGGTTCAACATCAATATTCTATATCCCTAAAGGTTGCAAAACTTTTACCTCAAAAGGGACTGGAATATTTTGGACTTTTATTGTCAGTCATCCCCTACAATATACTGTAGTGTGTGTGCAACAGCAGCTGTTGACACCACTGTATGATGACTTTTTATTTAACATAGTGTTTCTAGTTCTTATGATGTACAACCATATTTTATATATATATTGTATATATATATATATATATATATATATATATATATATATATATATATATATATATATATATATATATATATATATATATATATATATATATATATATATATATATAAATGAATTACATACATAGGTATATATACAGTACTTGTATGTATGGTTGTATGTACAACTTAATTTAGAAAGTCCCTGATATCGATTTCATGATCAATTTCATTTAATTTTTGCAAATCTCTAGTAGCATGTTAGAGTGAAGTAATCTTAGGTATTACTTGTTATGTTTGATGTTAATTTGTGTGGAGCAACTAAACTATATACAGGAATAAAGCATTACTTCTCCTACTTACTGCCTATGACTAACTGTAGTTACAGTACTTCATGAATTGACTTAAAATCCATGCATGGAACAGAAACCCCCATGCAGGCCTACATACTGTCTGGACAATTACAGTACGTTTAGTTAAAAAAATCATGTAGAGCATGAGAATAAATTAGGTAACCAACAGAAACAAATCACTCAAACATGTCTGCCACTGTACAATATATTACAAATATAAGGAAAACACTTACCAACTGGCAATGTTCAAGTATTGAAAACTATCATTTAGATAAAGTTCTTGCTGACAGTAAATGACCAAAAATGCACACAAAACCATACTATGAGACAGAGGGTGTCCAACTGAGGGGAGTCCTGTAAAAATATACTTTTGCAGTTTCTTATACAACTGATAAGTTGTAGGCACCAGCTTCTACAGAATTTAAGAAACCTACAAATGTGTATTTTCTGCGGAAAGCTCGACAGTTCACTCTCTGCTTCATAGTGTGATTTTGTATGCATTTTTGTCCTCTACCTTTTGACATGTTTATGGTATAATCACACTACTTTGGTCACATGTATGTGTTTCTTTAAAATTTTACCCACAGGTCAATTCATAAGAGATATTCCTATCTCATCCATTGCTTACAATTTATTCAAGTCACTTAATATGATAATATGACATGTCTACATAGAAAAGTATTTGAATATATTCTAAACCCCTTCTAAATTAGTTGAGGTTAGAGAAAACTGTATTGTTATTGATGAATACTCAGTCTTACATCAGCAATACAGATATCTTCTATTACCATTACCAAGTTTAAATATCAATAAACACAGTCCCGTATGTCTACTCACCGCATTAATGCCAGACAACTGCTGAGAGAGTTGCATCACAACACCAATAGTCAACGGCATGCGGAGAGATGATGACCGCACCAGCTGGAACACAGTCATGTGAGCCTCCGACTGACTAGCTGCTTCCTCCGCTCTCATCTCTTCAATATCTTCCTCTACGTGGGTCGATGCTCGTAGTCTCCGCAGGGCTGTAGAGTTAAAAGTTAATATTATGGATAGCTTGATAAATGGATAGGTCTTGGTCCTTCTGCAATGACAGAAAACATCTTTTCATAAAACCCAAGATCACTAAAACTGTTAACAGGTATACCTAATGTGTCCCGTGCCTTGAATGAGATTATCAATCTATTTTCTCTCTCCATATATGTATATAAAACAACTTACATTAATGGACATCCAACGTGTTATAACCCCTGAATTAGTATGGTTATGGGATGAACAGTCGAGATTCAAAAAGTAAAGGCCACTTAAAGTGTTCATTAAATAATTCACAATTATTGCTGGAAGTACAGTATATCAGTCACTTTGTTTCATGCTATACATGCATCCTTGATAATCGCGGGGGTTAGGTTACAGAAAACTACCGTTATAAGAAACACTGTACATATCGAAGCACATAACATATGGGAAAAATTAGTTTCATCCCACAACCCCAAAAATGCATCCCCTAAATGACAAAATTATACCTCCAAAAATGTGAAGGTACACTAAAAGATATAATACGAGTAACATATCTTTTGTCATTAAAGAATAACAAGTAAACAATGTACAGTACTGTACAATATTGTATTATGAATGACAGTCATACTGTAGTGGAATGAGAGGCAAAGTGTCAGTGAGACACTGGGTGGGAGGGAAGGAGGAAACTGGGAAGTGGGTGTGATATCGTGCAGTGGACATCATGCTAATCTGCTCTGGTCTAAAGCAAATCCATCACTGAAATTATGATTAAGGTGGTGATAATAGAGGTAGTGTTGTGATGGTGGTGATCATACAGCTGGTGGTGGAGGGGAAAATTGTGGTAAGTGGTGAGATGATGCATCAATCGGTTTGCTTGGTAACGCTGGCTAATGCACTGCCAGATACAACTGAACAGCTGAAGTCTACCCACAAAATTGAGTGCAAGAACTATCATGAACAACGTCGTATTCCTTCCACAATATGTTACATAAATTTCAAATTGAACCGGCTGGTTAATTCCAATGTTAACCAGGTTGGTTCATGTATATTATATTGGGCTTTAGAAACGAAACCCAATTGAAGTTTCTTCATTTATTAAAAAGTATTATTTGTATAATTCCTGAGTGAAGATCAACTGTAAGTTCCACTATTTATGAGTGTAGTGAGAAAGGGACGGCGTCTATGTAAATACAGTAGACGTGAATCAACGTCCATTCAAAATTAGCTTGTGAGTGAGACTTTGAGTAGTGACCCATCGAGGGAGAACGGAATTGGGACTTCGTCCTCCCTCGAGGGAAGACGGAGCCATCCACTGCGGCTCTCAAATAACGTCTTCCTCTAGTCAAGGATATCAAGCTACTGCCCGCTTTAGGTGGCCAGGAGCCGGCTACTTTATGCTTTTACTCAGCATAGTATGACGCAGCTTCCCGTGGGCACACCTTATCACACGCATTGAACATGTCACCTCATAGCCAGTGGAAAGTTACAGGGGATGACTCAGTATATAAATCAAATGTAATTAACCCATTTATATAATTCTTATGTTTATGAAACAAGGGCCATTACAAAATTATGATGTGAGAATGCAGAAAGGTGGGGGTGATTAGAAGTGGAGTGGAAGGAAGTGGTAAAACGCAATGAGTGTGTAGCCAAGCGCATACTTATCCTTGTCGGGAACATCGGAACATTCAACCAGAGAATATGCACGTCTTCATCGCTTGGCTGGATCAGGAACCTTAACACTCTTCTTGTTCACAGGTGCCATGGTGGAGGGTAAGTAAAAGTAAAAAAAAAATTGCACCAAAAACAAGCATGGAGCAGAAAACCATCTTCAAACATCGACCAAAACAGTGCAGGGAAACAAATGCTGTCACTGGAAGCTGGCGCCACTAGCTGTGCTGCCATCTCTTGGCAGTCACTGTTACCGCTCTCTCTCGCAGACCCGCCACTATCCCATGATAATTCTGCGATAACCCAGATCAATCAGTGATAAGCGTATACGTGGTCACAATTGAGTAGGACACCGTGATAAGCCAGATCAGCGATTATCGGGTCTCGAGATTATCGAGGATACATGCGTGTGTATATGTGTGTGTGTGTGTGTGTATGTGTATATATATATATATATATATATATATATATATATATATATATATATATATATATATATATATATATATATATATATATATATATATATATATATATATATATATTTATATATATATATATACACAAAGTAATATTTTCTTTAATGAGATTCTCTTAATCAAATCTCTCTCATTACCAGACTTAAGTGACGATTGAGGTTCATGTCTTGAATTTTCATTGAAGTAGTCACAGTTAACTACTTGGGTCAAATGTTTAAGCGAGACTATCTGGATGTCATAATGTTCTGGCAGAAATGATGAAGTCTGTCTGAAATACAGTCTCTGGTTATCAGGGGTTTTCCTGTAATGAACAAAAATTCTCCTTGAATCTACAGCCATCTGAAGGATCTTTTACAACAATTACAGTACCGGTAACCCCCAATATAACAGACACTGTCTATAATGGACCTAGGCTTTAATGAACACACTGACCCATTCGGACTAGGTTCATATATTACAGACTAAGGTCCATTAATGTAAAAAATAACGGATTATTCTTATCCAAATTATCACAAATATTTAGAGTAATACCCCATTTAGTCCCACCCCACATAAAGCTGATTCATTATAAAACTCTTTGGTCCCCTCATGGAGTTATTTTTTAATAGAAAAAAAAAATGATGAAAATCCATAATAGAAGGCAGAAGTTACAGGACGGAACACTTGGGACTCGCCTACAGCGGCCAGACTTCTTTACAGCTAATGAGAGTGACACATACCCATCAACGCTCGCAACTACCAGCGCTCTCTTCATGTAAAAAATTTCCTGGTAGTATTCAACTTACTTGACATGCTCACTGTTTATATAATTTATTTCTGCATATTATAGTGAATATTTGTGACCCAAGTAAAGTTTTTACCAGAAAAAAAAAATGAATATCCATAATGCATACATAATACACCTGTCAGTGCAGCAGTCATTATTACACATAATTACCCCCCCCCCCACTTACAGTACAACTAATCAGTACCGTAAGTGTTACTAATATGTAGAGAAACTCTTTATTCTGCTAGCCCACAGGCCGCCACCACAGTTTGAATGCGCTGGCATCCTGTAAACACCAGTTAGTGGTTGTGAATGTGACTGGTGGTGATGAGTGTTGGTGGTAATTATAGTGATTGGTGGTGATGCAAGAGTCATCCTGCTCTATACAATATGAAAATATTGACTTAACACTCTCACACAGAGAGAGAGAGAGAGAGAGAGACTAACCTCTGCGTGCCTCGTCTTCCAACTGGCGAGACATGAGCAGGTAGCGCGGGGATTCCGGGCACACCGGCAGCAGCACCATTTGCATGATGGCTGGAACAATCGCAAGACCTGTGAAAGTACAAATGATTTATCTGTTAGTAAGGGAATTTAGTTTGATATGAATTAAAAGATCATAAGAAAAATATATTAAAAAAATTTAATTCAACTCAGAATATAAAAATCAAATGATCTGATTTTGAACTTAAATGTCTGAACCAGTTTAAATATTTTATTTTATCTCCATAACTAAACAAAACATTGAAAAGTGTCTCATAATTTATCAACCCCAATACAGTATATTTACCAAAAAAAAAAGTTTCGTTCCTGAAAAAAAAATGTAAATAGATTTTTCATAAATCGGATCTCAAATTTCCATAAACTCTCATGTTTGTCAAAAAAAATAAAATAAATAAATAAATAAAAAAAATAAAAAAAAATAAATAAAAAATTCCATAAAGCATTCCTCAAAGAAAAATTGTCGTGTACAAAATTATAAGTGAAAACCGGCAGTGCCCAAGTTACAAAACCTGCACTTACGAATGGGACCCCAAAACGGTATATTTATCACAAAAATCTGTAACTAAAATCCCATTTTTTACATTACTTTCTATTGTTCAACATCACTTTCCATACATTATTTAGTATGTATGGGATACTATTATTATTTTTTGGGGGGGCAGGGTTGTGCATTAACCTAAGCTAACCTTTAAAATTAACACTGTTCCTACTTACAAACAGACTGACTTAGGAACAGGGTCAAGGAATGTAACCCATTCATAACTCAGGGACTGCATGTAGTAAACATAAGTGAAATACCTGATGTACAGTACAGTACAGCAATAATTTTATACCTGTACTTATGGAAATCAGATGAGGTTTGAAACAAAGTAGACAGTATGAAATGCTAAGCCAACAACTATACTGCAATAAATACCGTACTCTACATTATATAATTGTAATAAATACATTAATTTCAATTCTATAATTGGAGATGTGTTCTTTAAAATAAAAAAAAATTCATGCTCAGTCCATAATGAGTTATTGTGTCATCCTAAGTTCCCGCTGTTTCACTTGTATGGCGTGATCACTACCGGCAGTTAGCTGATGCTACACTTGCTACACTCACGCTCTCTCACGTGTTACTGGTAATTCCACACTTCCAAAACTTTCTTCACTTCCAAATTCCACATTTTCTTTTACAACGCTCCACCTTTACTGTACATAATTAGCATATGCAGTTTCAGAATACAGAATACAGAGGAAAGTCTACTTGTCCCCAGTGAGTTTGAAGAGTAAGTTATAGTGTGATTGTAGGAGAATAATGGCACATTGAAAGTTTATTTGAGGTGTTTAGAACCAGAAGGACGACCACATTAATTTCAAAATTTGAGAATAACCACTTCAAATTTTGTGCAAATATAAATAGCTATAGCACAAAATAAAATGTACAAATGTACTTATTTTTGTTTATTACTTTAAAGCAAAACATTGTAATAATAAAAGTTTTAAATGAGACACATACCCCAAATTATGATAAAGAATAAGAACACTGCAACATGTTAGCAAATCCAGTGAGTACAAATACAAACTAATATTAATAAATACTTTTAAAAACCTAATAGCAAAATTAATATGTTGTTCATAGTCCATTTTATAGTTATTTACATGGATTTCAGCCATCATAAATAGCAAAAATAAGGCACAAACACAGAGAAGCTTCTTCACTGTTTACCAAACGCGCGAGACTGCCTTGGGATGGAGGGATGCAACACGCTCAGTAACTGTAGCGCGGCACTGATTGGCTGCTGGCTCTCGTATGGTCGTGTCTGCTCGCCCCTCTGGCATGAATGCTAGGAACCGCAGTGTGATGAAAGAACATGACCAATATACCCACTATTTCAATGGCAGAAATGCACTAGATGGGCAAACAAAGGTGCTTTGAGAATCAGTCCATCTGATAGAGCATGGATGAGAGAAAATGGAGATACAGAAAATTGATTTTACCACCCCTGGCAGACTCATCCTTCTGGCACTGAACACCTCACTTGTAGATATAATAACATTGCAAGTGTTAGAGAATAATAAGGTAGGTTAATGAAATAAATAAGCATGACGGTAGTCAAAAAAAAAGCATTATTTTAACGTATTTTTATTATTACTTAGGCAAAAATAATGATAAGTGTTCATTCTTTTCTTAACTTTGGATTTTTAATTCATAAATCAAACCAACAGATAATTTTTTTAACCATATTTTTCCATTCGTACAGCAAACCTTCACAAATCGAGGACTGCCCGTATAAAGGAGATGAGGAAAGTACAGTACTGTATATACAGTACAGTATATATATTCTGTATACAGTGTATACAGTAGAATCCCAGTTATCCGGCACCCACAGGGATTGAGAGGTGCCGAATAAAGAGATCTTCCGATTAGTTGAAACTCAATTTTAGGTTCCCAATAAATCTTACAAAGCATAGTGCTATTGGCTGACCTTATAATTTCATGTCTCAGAAAAATGGACTTTTTAACACTTATTCCACTCTATATAAACGATCTGGCTTAGATATAAAGAAAATATAATACCGTATAAAACCATAAATAAAAAAAATTAAGAGCATGGGTGCGTATGTGTGAGAACCGAGTGTGTGTGGAGGTGGCAGGCTATAACTATGTCACCGACTCACCAGCCCAGCTGCCACATTTATTGTTACTTGCAATAAAACTATAAAAGTTGTCAAAAAATCATTACAAATACTCAAATGTGGCTTGGAAATAAAAAATATTTAATACAAAACAAGAAAAAGAAGAGCATGGGTGTGTGTATGAGTGAGAAGTGAACATGTGTGGAGGTAGTTATAGCCAAGGCCTTGGCTATAACTACATTGCCATACTTGCCGGCCTCATATGTATTCTGTTACTCGTAATGAAAATACATAAGTTGTAGAAAAATCATTACAATACTCTAATGTGGCTTAGAAATAAATAAATTACAGTATAATGTAAAACTATAAAATAAGACAAATGAAGAGCATCAGTGTGTATATGTGTGGGAAGTGAATGTGCACTGAGGCTGTGGGTTACTGGGCTATAGCTGTGTTCCCTTCCAATGTGACGTCAAGGCATACACACAGGCAGTGTGGCAGCCACACGTCTGTGAGTCTGCTGGTTGACTGCCTGAACTGTATCGCATTGAGTGTGGAAGGAGCTATTTTTTTTTACACAAAATATGTGCTATTGTATTTTACAGTATGCTATGTATTTATTTTATTGTTTATAATAGCAACAAATACGGCAACTCATCCCCGTTGCATGCGGTATTCAAACTTATGATTCTAGCTGATTTGGGAGGAGTTTATATTATTGCTATTATTTAATTTTGGAGCAGGTTAGTTGAATCTGCCAGTTGCCCCCATACTGGATAACTGGGATTCTACTGTATACCTATTCTTTATTTATTTACATCCACTTAATTAAATGACCTCCGTGCCTGTCAACTAAAAATAATTAAGATGTTGTAAAAAAAATAAAGCAATGAATGACTAATATCCCATATGCCTTGTCTGGACGAAAGATAATTTAACACAGAACTAATAACAAATAAAAAACAATTGTACATGAATATCCCCAAATTATTAGGTTTAACTTTTTAACAATTCATCATATATACAAAAGTCATTAAAAGATCTCCCAGCCATTGACACTAATTATGAAAACGAAGAGACTGTGGATCTAGAAACATCCATGCATGAAGGGGAGAACAGTAAATCTAAAAAAAAAGAGAAAAAAATCAGTAATGAAATACCCAGGAGAATTGGCCATGCGTTGCTATTCCCAAGAAGTTGCTCTATGCCGAGAATCTGGGAGAGGAGCAGACCAACGGTGACGGCGAGCTGGTTGACGGTGCCCAGACCACCTCGAAGGTTGAGCGGGGCTATCTCACTGATGTACATAGGCACTAAAGAAGTGTTCAAACCTGTTGGCATAAACAACATTGAAATGGGCAAAAAAATGAATCACAATTAATAAACGAATGTGATGTACATTCTTTAGGGAGGAGGATTTTCCCACAAGGCAGAAAGACAAGCAATGAAGTTGTTTCAGAATACACGAATAATCCAGTCTACACGTAATGCAATTATTGGTAAACTGGGTAAGGGCAGAGTGACAGAGCACCAAGTACCAACAGATGGACAGAGCACTAAGTACAGTACATATAGAGGGACAGAGCATTAAGAATATATAGATGGACAGAGCATTAAGAATATATAGATGGACAGAACATGAAGTACAGAAAGGTGGACAGAGCAGCAAGAATAGGTTCTCCAACAAAATCTTGAGTGAAAGTAAATGTTCAAACATTTCCAAAATAACAACCATATAAAGAAGACATTCTTAATAATACCAAACGGAGGGACTGAAGTACAAGAGGGAAAGCTGCCAGCTGATTACCAGGATCAGTGCAGGGCTAACAGGTGGGTCATAAGGGCAAGTTATTCTGTTCATAAATAACATCTTTATACCAGACCTGGAGGTAAGTTGCTGTCATTGTGTTCCACATAGTCAATTAATTTATTGTTGAAGTCTTCCTCTTAGTGAAACATTTCTCCAGAATCATAAATACAAAATTAACAAATGTTTGTCACTAAAGGAGGCCAAGTTCCCTGCTGCTGAGAAGTACAAGGAACTATTACTGTACTCTGGGCAATAATAATGTAAAATGCTGATTATGAAAGTGATCTGAGAGTTTGTTATGATGCATATATAAACTATGTTTAAAATCACTTGCTATTTATTAAACCATTTGTTCATGAATTCGCACGCACGCACGCACGCACGCACGCACGCACGCACGCACACACACACACACACACACATTGAGTAATGAGAACAAATATACAAACTTTTTAGAAATCGATACAGTACTGTACAGTATAACCATAATAAAGAAAGCAAGATATGATGAAAAAAAACTCTGCTTTTCACGATTCCAAAAATTTTAAGGAATGCATCCTGTAGTCAACCATTTAAAAAGAAAGAGAAAAAACTAGAACTAAACCTGGAATTCCCACTTTATGGAAAAGGAGAGGAGCTAAGTGGTTTATGAAGTTCCCACCAGCAGTACTTCCTCATTTAGGGGACTACATACATGGACTGGTGAGAGCTAAATAAGTTACTCATCGGGTAGCAATAACAAGGACAGAACCTAATCTTGATACATGTAATATGAATGGTCACAGGGATGAATTTCTCGTCCTATCATAAGACTCAAAACGCTCCAGTCATACACTTGGATCTTTGAAGTTCAATCCTAACATTTACCACCAATGAGGTAGGAGAAAAGGATTCTATGTCACTTGAATCTTCCCCTCAACCATAAAATGGGATTTCCTAGTTCAATTTGTGGTTTTATGTTCTATGTAACCTTTATCAATAAATTAAGGCACAACCAAACATCTAAATCACAGATTGATAACCCACATATCATAATGCTACTTTGGCGAAGGAATTATTTATATAATGATGTTTCTGAATATACTGTAGGTATGAATATGAATTAATTAACTCTTAAAATCCTACAGGTAGAACTCATGACCATCATAAACACAATGACCTGTAATGTATTCCCTAGATTTATAAATATTTGCTAAATCAATTTGTACACTTACCCTTACCTGTACTTTCAATATGTAGAAGGAAAGTGTTGATGTTTAAGTAATTTTTATGGCCTTGTAGTGAAACATAAACTACTGCAATTAATCCCTGTAAAAAAACTTGATCCCACAGAACGCATTATGTATTACTATAATTTGTATGGTATGGGGCAGAACCTTCTACTAACCATTTTGATGGATAGAGCAGCTCCAGTCACCAAGTGTTTCACAATGCCCCATATGTTATGACTTGTTTGTACCTTCAATATAGATGCTAGTTGTGTGTAAATCATAATTATTCTCATGTTGCTACAGCTAATAAGAAAATGAGAAAGAGTTTCAACTCAACAAGTAAGTAAGGTAGACCTCCAGCAACCCACTGACCAACCACTGCCTGAGAGGTAGGTTTAGATTCACTCACACATCTCTCAGTATATTAAATGATGCACTGTGTTTATAGTTTCTGTGTTCTATTTCTTTAAGTAATGTAATGGTTTTGGTGATTTTGTGGTCAGCCAAAAATGAGGGAGGATTTCTACTTAGAAACTAAAACAGAAATGTGGCAGCTTACTATCTTGACTGCTAAATACCACACCATCACCCATCAATATCTCCAAAACATTTATGAGCTGAATGTACTTGCTTTTAGTATAAATGGTGTAATTTTATACTGTACTGAGTGTGAATGCTTACTGACTATTAGAATTACAAATCTTTGTTTAAAATCTTGTGCTGTGGTGGGATCAATCATACTGTACATATTTTATAGGTAGGTACCCAAATCTAGCCTGCTATTCCTCATTAGATGTTAACTTCTCTAAAGCATGATCTAATATTTTGAAAACCCTAGGTCATGCCAAACCTTAAGCAGCAGAACCAGGTAAGAAAAATATGCAAAATGAACACCCAAAACCCAAATTTATGATGGGAAGTTTATGTCATGTGATCTGGGATTTGTCCTGGCAACAATCAAGTCACTTTGCTTTTTGAAGCAATTCTGTGCATATACAGTATTATGTTTGAGGTTCTGACCTCATTTAATGTTAATACACTTGGTGAGTAGCTGCTTATGCAGCCATTCACTGATCTAAATAAGACAGTCCCTACCTCAGAGTGCACATAGTGTAGCAGTTGTTGTTCTACAGGAGGGAATCTCACAAGTCACTTCATTAATGACCTATAGGACATAGATATTCAACAATAATATAATAAAAAAAATATATATATTTTATGAGATGTATGCATTCCCATACTAGAAGTTCTGCAGCTAGCATTACATCAATAACTGTTACATAAACTGAACAAAAATTATTTTTAGAAAACTCACATGTTCACTCAAATTTTTTAAATACTGTACTGTAAAAAATGTAGAAAAAAAGACCCTTAACATATTATGAACTTAGGTATATGAGTATCAACTGTGTATTCCTCAATGACAGTCTTTTAGCACAACTCATATACAGTACTGTACAATATATTGTACTGTACGCTATGGTATTTATGTTGTGCACGGCCTAAGAAAACCTTGTACAATAACAGTACTTCCTCCTACCAAAGGAACTTACTCTGAGGGTTGCGTAAATAAATATAAACAGGAGGATAAGTGTAATACACAATACAGAATTTATGTCTTCCACGGAAGTCAGTATCATGTCACATACAGTACAGGAAAATATTTTACGATGAGAAGCATACATATTAACGGTGAACTATTGTATTGTCCCATTATGCATATTAACTTTGAACCATTGTCCCCATTAATACAAGCAGGAAATTACTGTATCTCACAGAGACCTGAACAGATTCCTGTACAATAGGAAACACCAATAAACAGCCATTAATAGTCAACAACTTTAACTTTTACAACCATACAGTACAGTGACCCCTCGTTTAACGAACACCTCGGTTAATGTAATTTCGATTAACGAACTGCCTTCCATAAGGATCTTCAATTCGGTTAACGAAAAAAAATTCGGTGAACGAAGTTCTTACAAACCGACCTCAACATGTTTTCGCTTGCACTGACCGGGCAACCAGCTTTAGTATCAGTCCGCCAATATATTAATCGGTTCTAGGGCTTAAATTCCTTACTATTTTAGTAAATATCAAGAAGTTTATACTATTCAATAATTTTAAAAGTTTAATATTCAATTTTTTAGTCATTTTAACAATTATTGAACATAACTGAAGGTAAAGTGACTAGTTTAATGCGCGGCATCCAGCCTCTTAACACAGCAAACAGGAGTTAGTCTCTCTCTGTTTTCACTGGAGGTAACATCTTGCTTGAGACTCTCTTCAACTAAACGCTTTTTTTCTGTGTTTCCAAGCAAATTATTGGTCATTTTGAAATATATTTTACATATTGACAATATATAATGCAGTGCAGTGTTGATTTAAAGAAAATAATCTTGAATTACACCAAGAGAGCTAAAATTTTATGGGAGAAATTGCGCCATGGGGTGACTTCTCTTCCACCCCAATGCCTTCTCTTTTTCCTTCTCCTCCACCCCCATTCTAAATCCCATCATCATCATCCAGGAGCCTTCTACATACACACCTCAAAGTAAGTGAACTTTTCTACCATTTTTGTTGAATTTAGGAAATTTTCGGTGAGCTGGAACCAATTACCCAAAAACCCATTGAAACAATGGTTTCGGTTAACGAACTTTTCGGTTAACGAACGACCTTCTGGAACGGATTGAGTTCGTTAACGGAGGGGTCACTGTACAGTGCATTACCCTTATTCAAGAGGCCATCAAGTGGAAGTGACTGCAGTAGTGCAAAAAGAAGCTGCAAAGGCATTACATTGGATGTTAAACTTGATGTTTTAAGAAGGTATATCATAAATTATTTAATGAACTGTAATGTATTGTTATGTGTTTATAAATGTTTATTTTCATTCATAAAAGTGCTTGAATTACTTTTTTGGGGCCGAAAAAAATTCCTTAGGAACACATCTCCAGTTTTATAATGGAAGTCAATGGGAAAATAGGTTTCGAGTTACGGAATTTTGCGATACGGTCAATTTTCCAGGGACGCAACCCTTCCGTAATGCGGGGGATGCCTGTACGGTACTTGACAGCATTAAATAACTATGGTACATCACATTAAACATCACTAAATATGTGGCTAATTTATATATTCTCAGGTTGGCAAAAAATTTGTAAAGAAGGATATTATGTAAAACTAAACCATACAAAATTAATAAAAATATAAAATTCTGGTATCCATCTTGTTTTTCAGATGCAAGCACTGTACTGTATTACCTGTGGTACAGAACACAAGGGATGCATTTAAAAAATAAAAATAAATGTAATGTGCA